GACTTATTGAGGCTGTTAACTTTGAGACTGATGAGGCCATGTTGACTGGTGAGTCTCTCCCCGTTCGAAAGAACGAGGATGAAGTCTTTGAAGATACCACTGGACCTGGTGATCGTATCAACGTCGCCTACAGCTCTTCCACCGTCACAAAGGGTCGTGCCAAGGGTATTGTCTTCGCTACCGGCACCAGCACTGAAATCGGTGCCATTGCTGCTGCCCTCCGAAAGAAGGACAGCAAGGTCCGCCCCGTGAAGCGCAAGGCTGATGGTTCCGCCAAGCCTCACCGATATCTCGAAGCCTACACTCTCACCTTCACCGACGCTGTTGGTCGTTTCCTCGGTGTCAACGTCGGCACACCTCTCCAGAAGAAGCTCTCCCGTCTGGCAATCTATCTCTTCGGTACTGCCGTCATCTGTGCCATTATCGTCCTTGCTGCCAACGACTTCGATGCTTCCCAGCAGGTCATTATATACGCCGTTGCTACTGGTCTGTCCATGATTCCCGCTAGTTTGGTCGTCGTCTTGACTATCACCATGGCTGCTGGAACCAAGCGCATGGTCCAGCGAAACGTTATTGTTCGTAACCTCAAGTCTCTTGAGGCTCTCGGTGCTGTTACCGATATTTGCTCCGACAAGACTGGTACTCTCACCCAAGGTAAGATGGTTGCCCGTGGAGCCTGGACTCCTGGAAAGGGAACATATCTCATCGAGAACACCACTGAACCCTTCAACCCTACCATTGGTGACATGCGCTGGTCTCGCAGCCAACCCCATGAGCTGCCCCTCAAGCAGGGCGGTGATGACTGCGGGTCTGTCTCTCCCATCAGCGAACTCCTCAACCAATCCAAGTCTTCTCTCGTCAAGTTCCTCGAAGTTGCTTCTCTGGCCAACCTTGCCACCGTCAACGAGAAGAACGGCGAATGGCACGCCCGCGGTGATCCCACCGAGGTTGCCATCCAGGTCCTTGCCTCTCGTTTCGACTGGAACCGTCTCCGTCTTACCAGCCACGACGCTGCCAACCAGTACAGTGAGATCGCCGAGCTTCCCTTCGACTCTGATGTCAAGCGCATGTCCGTTATTATGAAGGATAACCGAACCAGCCAACTCTTTGCTTTCACAAAGGGTGCTGTCGAGCGTGTTATTGGTGCCTGTGCCACATACTGCCCTGAGGATAACGAGGAGCAAGTTCCCATCACCGATGAGTTCCGTGAACAGATCCTTCGTAACATGGAGTCATTCGCTGGAATGGGTCTCCGTGTCCTCGCTCTTGCTTCCAAGCCCTACAATGTCGACATGAAGAAGGGTGATGAGATTGACCGCACCACTGTTGAGTGTGATCTTGTCTTCCGTGGTCTCGTTGGTCTTTATGATCCTCCCCGCCCTGAGTCTGCTCCCGCTGTCCGAGAGTGTCACCAGGCTGGTATTTCCGTCCACATGCTTACTGGTGATCACCCCGAAACCGCCAAGGCTATCGCCATTGAGGTCGGTATCCTGCCTACCCGTATGGATCTCGTTGCCGAGGACACTGCTGCTACTATGGTCATGACTGCTACTACTTTCGATGGTCTCACCGATGATGAAGTCGATCAGCTTCCTTTCCTCCCTCTTGTTATTGCCCGATGTGCTCCTCAGACCAAGGTCCGCATGATTGAAGCCCTGCATCGCCGAGACAAGTTCTGTGCTATGGTATGTTCTCACCCTCGTCTCTTTCTGATGTCTCATGCTAACTTGACAGACTGGTGATGGTGTTAACGACTCTCCCTCTCTCCGCCGTGCCGATGTTGGTATTGCCATGGGTCAAGCCGGTTCCGACGTCGCAAAGGATGCATCCGATATCGTTCTTAGCGACGACAACTTCGCCTCTATTGTCGCCGCTATCGAGGAAGGTCGCCGTATCTTTGACAACATCCAGAAGTTCATCCTCCATGTGCTCGCCACCAATGTTGCGCAAGCTGTCGTCCTTCTCGTTGGTCTCGTCTTCAAGGACAAGACTGGTCTCTCCGTCTTCCCTATCGCTCCCGTCCAGATCATGTGGATCATCATGATGACTTCAGGTCTCCCCGACATGGGTCTCGGCTTCGAGCGCGCTGTCGCTGGTATTCTTCGCCGCCCCCCGATTTCTCTCAAGACTGGTGTTTTCTCCCTTGAGTTCATCATCGATATGTGTGTCTACGGTCTCTGGATCGCTGCCCTCTGCCTCAGCGCTTTCGTCCTTCGCCTGTATGCTTTCGGCAACGGTGAGCTCGGTGAGGACTGTAACGATAACTACAGCGACAGCTGCGAGACCGTCTTCAAGGCCCGTGCTACCACCTTTGCTTGTCTTACCTGGTTCTCCCTCTTCCTTGCCTGGGAGATGATTGACAAGCGCCGATCTTTCTTCCGCATGCAGCCCGGCTCCAAGCTCTACTTCACCCAGTGGATGCACGATGTCTGGCGCAACCAGTTCCTCTTCTGGGCCATCATGCTCGGCTTCGTCACCCTCTTCCCCATCCAGTACATCCCCGTCATCAGCGACACCGTCTTCAAGCACAAGGGCATCACTTGGGAGTGGGCCATCGTCTTCATCAACGCCGGTCTCTTCTTCGGCGGTATCGAGGCCTGGAAGTTCGCCAAGCGCGTGTACTTCCGCCGTCAAGCCCGCAAGAATCAGGGCGTCGAGTGGAAGGACATGGATCTTGAGCAGCGCACTTTCGGCGAGTATCTCACCCCGGACTCTAGCGAAGCCAGCGTGCGTCACGACTCTGAGAAGGTAGACGCACAAGCTGCCGCTCAACGCAAGAACGCCGAGAAGAAGGCGTGAACAAATTTCCCAGTGAAGGGGAAAAAGGTTCTTTGCTATAATTCTGCCAATGAAGAGGTAGATAGCCCAAAACTCAAAACGGTGCAAACAACGGAGGTATAAAACGTGGAAGGGTTCAAGAAAAAGGTGGGGGAGGAAATGTCTGAGCCGTAGTAGACATGAGATATGAGCTCGCTACCGGAGGAAACCCTGAAATGAACCACAGAAGACGCCGTTGGCTGTAATGAGACGAGGATGAAGAGGATCATGGATGGATATTCCAGATCTCTTGAGATTACCTATGCATAAGCGGAAATAGTTCTTTAATGAAGTTAAATGTTAAATCATGAACCAATTCTTTCCAGAGTGACTCACATATCCGATGATCAAAGTGATTGTGTTCAATGTGATAAATGCCAGCAAAGTGGAACGAAATTCCGTCCCGGATGGTCGGAGGTGGTGTCAAGGGGGAGCTTCTCAGCTGCAAAGCAATGCATAAAACAACAAAGCTGGCCATTGGATCAAATTCAATTGGACTGACCGTAGAGCTGTATTACATAGTAATTTCTAACCTGAACCTTCAATTGTGAAATCCTACGCTGACGCGTTAGCGTGACGCATGGTAAGCACTTGAGCGTAGCTCAATTTGCGGTCTGGGGATCACTCAATATCTTCAAGTCAAAGGCCCAAAAAACTCACACCTTTTCACACTTACCAATCCCTCAAAATGTCAGATACAACAGCTCCCAAGCCAAAACGAGACATGAAAGTCCTCTGTCTTGGCCTCCCCCGTACAGGCACAGCATCCATGGCGGAGGCTCTCACTGTTCTCGGCTACAAAGACGTATTCCACGGCCTCAAAATCCTTGACGACAAAGAAGCCTGGAAGAATCTTGAGCGTGCAACAGACGCGTCATTTCCAAATCTTCCGACATACACTGGAAAGCCCTTCACGCGTGAACAGTGGGATGAGATCTGGGGAGAATGTGAAGCCACCACTGATGTGGCTTCTATCTACGCACCGCGGCTCATTGAGACGTACCCCGATGCTAAAGTCATCCTTGTAATTCGGGATTTCGAACCTTGGTTCAAGAGCGTTGACGAGAGTGTTCTCAAACAACTCTGGAACCCAATCGCCGAGTTCTCCATCAAATTCGTTGAACCGCTCCTTGGGTCTAGAGCAGGCCCCGCGGCGCGAAAGCAAATGCTAGGACTTTTCCAAGCAGATACAGTTGAAGAAGCTCGAAAGAACGCAAGAGAAACATATGACCGCCATCATCGTGTAATCCGCGAGATGGTGCCCGAGGAGCAGCTGCTAGAGTATCGCATGGGTCAAGGCTGGGAGCCCATTTGCGAGTTTTTGGACAAGCCTGTGCCGGAGACGGAGTTTCCTTGGGTGAATGAGGCAGCGGAACTACGGAGGATTGTGAAGGAGAAGGCTATGAGTAATCTTGTAGCTGCTGTGATGGTTGTTATGCCGTGGGCTGGGGCGGTTGCTGCTCTGGGAGCTGGGTACTGGATGATGTATAAGAGGTGATTATCTTATTGATATGACAGAGTATGTAATCGATGTCGTTGAACTGTGAGCACTGATTAGTCGCCTTGATGATTGCGCCATCACATGTGACTGCTGTGCAACCAGTCCGACCATCCATCTCCATCATGATCTGTACCTGAGCTTACGTGGTACGCTTCAACACCCATAAGCTTCTCACTCCGAGGAACAACAATCACATCTACGTAATAGCCAACATGGAATCCCTCTCATACCCTCAAAAAGACCGCATATCTCGGCGCTGCATCCGCGGAAGATTCTAGCCCCACGCATGATGTCCTCCGAACCAGGGTTTTTAGCACGACCAAAAGGCTTGGCCAATGTCACCCGGGTTATCATTAATAGCCCCAGGAACAAAAACCAAGAGAATGGAGCGCTAATTTTAGGTTTAGAATATGCTTATCGCTCTGTGATGGAGCCGCTGCCGATCACTCGACGTCATGACGATTTCGACATGACGCAGCAGCCGAGCTGTCGAATGAGAGGGCTGATTGATTAGAGAAGAATGATGGAAGTGTTGAGTAGATGAGAGTAAGAGGCGAAGATGAGATGCATATAAGAGACGTGTCCTCGATGGAAGTCTTGCCATTGGGACCATCAATCTATATCAAAGCTTACTTCACTTGACTTCCAAGACTACTTTTTTGACACTCAATACCTGAACAAAATGTCAGACCTTGTGAACAAGATCAAGGAGACATTGGTCCCCTCCAACACTGAGAACAGCAACAATGGGTCTCACCAAGAGTCTCACAATACTGGTTCTCTTCGAGAGACTTACCACACCGGCTCAAATAACGCCGAGTCGTTCAACAACATCAACCAGACCAACCAGCGAGAACTTGGTTCCAACTCCAACATTTCTCCTCTCGATGCAACAAGCAACCAGAACCAGCAGACCGAGGGTGTCCGTACAGGCGACAGGATCAACTCGCTGGTAGAGAACGTGCCTGGCGTTCCCTCATCCCAGTCAAAGACTTCGTAAGTTTACTCCTCATACACGCGATGTAGTTCAAGGCTAACATCACTTTAAGCAATACAGATTCTTACCAGAACGACATGCACAAGTCTCCCGGCGCCACTCTTGATGCTACCCGTGCCCCTCCTTCTGCCCTTAAGAAGCATCTTGGAGAGCCTATCATTGCGCACGACTATCCTCATGAGAGCACAACCAAGAGACACTCTTCTGTCAGCCACCAGGAGGAGCACTATAACCTCAACTAGATGGATTGGGAAGAAGGAGTGGCTACCCTGGGACACTTGTAAAAGATGGGGCTGTTGTATGATAGCGCGATAGTGGTGGTAATAGATCGGCATTAACGCTCAATGCTAAGATAGCATATGTGATGTGTTATGTGACGTTGTTTGATCATAAACAGTCGTAAAGAGACACAGCTTCGTTGCAAACCCTCTTTCCGAGCATGTCACACCTGACCTAGGATTTGCGACCGCCAACCGATAAGGCCCTCGATATTAAAACCGTTGAGATCCGCGAAACAATGCCACGGTATCGAGGAACCTGTGCTAATTCCTCTCCAACTACTTCCCACGCTCAATCACTCAGCGGAGACCGGCTAATGTTGCCCATCGCACATCGCCGAGACTCCCCGCTCCGGCCCGGATCCACCACCCGGCCGCTATTCCCAATGCCGCAGCTCCGCGCCGGCAGCGGAATTCTGATCGAGAAGCTGACGCAGGAACACAGATTCCGCCGGATCATCATGCTAAACACCTGCCGCGCTAATAAATTGCTTTGAAGGTGAGAGGGATGATCAAGTGACTGCTCCAAGCTCCGGATGCAAGCCTGGAAGCCTGCGTTGTCTTTAGCGGGAATGAGCCGGTAGCTAAGCCATATCATGATCCGAGTCGATGATCTGAGAACCACAACGCTTTTGCTTGACTGATCATCCAACAATGCCATGACCATATCCACTGATCTCTACGGAGTAGCTTCAGAGCTATAAAATAGCCTTGGAGCTTTTCCCGGTCTATTTCTTACCGACGGATCCCACTCCACCATTTCTCCCCCTCCCATTCGCGCGGTTAAATGCTCTGGCTAAAGTGTCCATCGTCTTCAGCACCAGAACCTCAAGCGCTCCCGTCATGACAGGCACCCCATATTTAGAGAAATCCTGTCGGGTCTTGTGGTCTCGATATCATGGCTTCTTGATTGGCGAGGGTAAAAACCGTGGGGGTGTAGCCATCATGTCAACTCGACGGGTATTTAGTGAGCTATGAGGGAGGGACCATGTGATGAGGTCGGGGTATATGAGCCGCCGCCCTCATCAGCAGATTTCGGCCATGATCTGAATTTTTTTTTTATCATTGAGATCTCTTGTTCAGGCTATTTCTACAATTGCGCTTGGTGATAGTGACGGTGTTGTTGAACTCCACTGTGATCCATATAAGACAGGACATCCCACTTTGAGCTACTCCGTACGAGTGACGAACCTACTTTATCATCCCACGACATACGACTCAATTCACCTCCTCTTCTTTACCTATTATCTCTTCATCCACACTCTCACAATTACTCACAACTACTCACCAAATAACAGCAACAATGGCCAGCGTACGTCCTCCCAACTCATCAACCCCCTCACATCATACCCCGCCATCATGGCCCCTCATGACGTCTCACTAACAATCCCCCAGAACCTCTCCTTCGTCCTCAACAAGCCCAACGACGTCTCCTTCGAGGAGCGCCCCAAACCCACCCTCTCGAGCCCACACGATGTCCTCGTCGCCGTCAACTACACCGGCATCTGCGGCTCTGACGTGCACTACTGGGTCCACGGCTCCATTGGCAAGTTCGTCGTCGAGGACCCCATGGTTCTAGGCCACGAGTCCGCCGGCACCATCGTCGAGGTCGGCTCCAAAGTAAAGACCCTCAAGGTCGGCGACCGCGTCGCTCTCGAGCCCGGCTATCCCTGCCGACGATGCCAGAACTGCCTCGCGGGCAAGTATAACCTCTGCCCGGACATGGTGTTTGCCGCTACACCACCCTACCACGGAACTCTGACCGGCTACTGGACTGCGCCTGCGGATTTCTGCTTCAAGCTTCCTGATAATGTTTCGCAGCAGGAGGGTGCTCTGATTGAGCCTCTCGCTGTCGCTGTGCACATCGTCAAACAGGCGCGCGTCAAGCCCGGTGACTCTGTCGTTGTCATGGGCGCTGGACCCGTTGGTCTTCTCTGCGCCGCTGTCGCAAAGGCCTACGGCGCCTCCAAGATCGTCAGTGTCGATATCGTCCAGAGCAAGCTCGACTTCGCCAAGGACTTTGCCTCCACCCACGTCTACGCTTCTCAGCGCATTGCGCCCGAGGAGAACGCCAAGAACATCTGCGAGCTCGCTGATCTCCCCGAAGGCGCTGACGTCGTCATTGACGCCAGCGGTGCTGAGCCTTCAATCCAAGCATCTATCCACGTCCTTAAGAACGGCGGTAGCTACGTGCAGGGCGGCATGGGCAAGGCCGACATTACCTTCCCCATCATGGCATTCTGCATCAAGGAGGCTACAGCCAGCGGATCATTCCGCTACGGCGCTGGTGATTACCCCCTCGCTGTTGAGCTTGTTGCTACCGGCAAGGTCGATGTCAAGAAGCTCATCACTGGAGTTGTCGAGTTCAAGCAGGCTGAGGAGGCTTTCAAGAAGGTCAAGGAGGGAGAGGCGATTAAGGTCTTGATTAAGGGACCTAACGAGCAGTAAAGAGACGGTGATGACGATATGAATACTACGAATGAGAACTAAAAGCGAAAAAGATATCTGGGCATGGGATGGCTTGGATCATATGAAGCGGGGCGGCGGGTGAAGGCGTTTTGTCATGAGTGGACTTGGTATGAGTCCTTTACATTATAGCATCATTCTGAAGCACTTAATAGATGTGATTTGTTTCACCTGGGCCCCTGTAGATTGACCACGGGTAGCAGGCGGGTGTCTAGGCTGGGATGCAAGTAGAAACACGAACTCTTGGCTTCAGAGATACCAATATCTCACAGCATAAGGATAACCGCCACATACCTTGTAGCTTGATCGTGCGAGGCAGTCTCGTACTCCTCAACGCTGCTACAATGACTGTATTATTAATTGAATCTTGCTGAATGCGCCCTTCCAGTGGCTCCCGCGTATCCTCTCCAATCTCCCCCATCCTCCAATTCCGCGCTCTCCCTGCCATTCCTCTCCCATTCCGCCCCTCCACAAATTAGCTCCAACGGCTGAACAAGCACAGCCCATGTGCCATCTCCACTCTCCGCATTTAGCTATTTCTCCCATCACAGCTCTCCAATAAGACAAGCCTCACCCGTCTTACATCTCCCAAAGAGGCACAAATCTCACCTTTTATTGACCACTTTACGACGAGCTAGCTTGTTCGACAAAAAAGATAAACGCCCTGGTTGAGTGAGAGTAAGAAGCTTGTCGGGAGATCTTATCCATGTGATCGACACCGGCATGGGCTGGTTAGCGAAATCCTCCATACAGGGGTCTGCACCTCGAACCAAATCTCGCGCAGCATGCTCAACTGGGAAGCGCCTCTTCTCAGGCCTACGAGCCTTGTAACTCTCCTAACCCAAGCTTTATCACTCGTCGATAAATCTCATTTTATCTAGCAATTGAGCTAGAAACTCCGTTGCTTCTAGTGAAACGCCTCAGTGAGTATTTTAAGGAGCAATAGCTTCAAGTGGCTTGTCGCACTGCCCAGACTTTTCCAGTTCAATTTCCACAAGCCACTCCGCCTTAACGGCATTTGTCTGTTTGACTTTTTCGTGCCTTGTTGTGCAGGGGTGTTAGGTAGGGTGGTACCGTTGTGACCCTGTTTTCGTTTGTTGTCAATTAAACTAAAGACCACCAAGGCTCTAGACACTTATACTCGCATAACTGCCGACGATACTCAACTCTTGAAAACAAGATACAATTAGATAAAGCATCTTGAAATAAATGATTATCTTGGTAAATGCGCGTATTGCCTTAGCATTCGGACAATTCTTTCCCAGAACCATGGCCTGTCCCCCGAGAGAGCCCAACGGCGCCAACGAGGCATCCCGAATGGGCAAGCTGAGGTGCGGCTGAAGGACGCTAACGACGCCATCTGCAAGGGTTCCTCGTCCTCGAAATCTGCCTTGGGCTTCTTGTAAGTGAACGGTACCTATAACTTATAAGGCTGTTGTGTTTCCCCCCAGAGCCGAGAAAAAAGGGTGCGCCATAAATCATTCTCCCCAGCGAACACTCGTCTTGGCCCTTACACTAGCACTTCGCATCTCTTGGCTGCTTCTCGTGGCTTGACACTATCACTTATACTGCTTGTTACTATGGAACAGACTCAGGAAAAGGTTGAGAGCAACCATGTTCTCCAGACACCGCTTTGGATTGTCATAATTCGTGGCTTTCAGTTCCTCATCTCTCTTATTATTGTTGGTCTTTGTGGCCGTTTGATGCACGATGCTACTCTCGATGAAGAAGCTCTATCTCTCGCCATTGTACGTCCTCACTCGTATTCTTTCATCTTAACACCACTAACACGCCTAGGCAATCATCTCATGGATCGTTATCGCATACACGGTCTTCACAGAGAAAATCCCCAGTCTTCGAAACGCATATCACATCATCGCCGTTCTAAGTCTCGATGCACTGATGATGGTTCTTTGGCTTGCGGCTTGGGCTGCCACTGCCGCGAGACGTGCTAAATACGTCGTTCCTGTTAACGCTTATGGCTGTGTTGATGATGGAAGTATTACGGATAGCAAGACTTGCAACATTTTTAAGCGTGATGGAGAGAATGTTATTCTCTTCAAGTCTGGTTTGGCTATGCTTGCTGCCGTCGCGGGCCTCGGTGCCCTCGTCTGGTAAGTTGTCTTAATTCTTGAGTCACGGACAATGTTGACTAACATTTGACTTCCAGGATCCTCTTCATTGTCACTTTCGTCTGGACCCTCGTCATGTTCCTTCGTGGTCGCAAGGAAGGTCGCTTCGCTGTCAATCTCGCTGCCTCTCCTTCACCCAACAACAACTACCAAATGGAGACCAAGATCAACGAAGGTCAACCCATGGTCCAGCCCGTTCAACCTCAGGGCGTCCCCCAGCAGCAATACCAGCAACAGCCTGTCCAAGGCCAATTCGTTCCTCAACAACAGCAGCAGTATCCTCAAGGCACTCCCTCTCCCTACCAACCTGCTCAGAGCCCATACCAACAACAAGGCGCTTATCCTCCTCCCGCTGCACCCTACTCTCCTCAAGACCAGCAGTACCAAGGCCAGCAGAACTACGGACAGTATCCCCCTCAGCAGTACCAACAGCCTCCTCAACCTCAGGGAAGTGAGCTTGATGGTCAGACCAACTACTCTACTCTTCCCGCTGCAGTTTCTCCTCCTCCTCAGCATTACGGAAGTGAGCTCGATGGCCAGACGAACTACGCCCACCCTCCTCCTGCTTCAATGTCGCCGCCCCCTCAGCCTCAGCCTTACCCTCCCCAAGCGTATCACCAGCAGTAAATGAAGTAAAGAGGGAATAATGGTCGGGCCTCTTGGCGCGTGGCGTTACGTTTCTGTTTTGCCAGTATTTTATATATCCAACAACAGCGGCGGCTTTTTGACACTTGTTTTATACCAATAGTCACAGTTAGAGTACACGATGTAGCGATTGATGACAATTTATTCGCAATGTTTTATGTACCTATTTCCCACTGATAACCTGTACAAGTGTTGCCGCATAACACGATCGTAGCAATGTGAAGGGGTCCTGAACGGCGCATCGCTCGCTACCTTACTCCCTAGTGTGAAGGGCGGAGACGACAACCGAGAAGAAGTAGTGTGTGTAGCTACTTTTCTGAAGGATCTGGGGGAGACGTCCTCATCACCCTCAACTTTCGCTTCTTGGATGGTGAGACCACAATCTTCTGCAAAACCCCCGACCACTTGTGCACCGGGACACCCTCTTTCTGGGGATTATGGTCCACGTCTCCACAAACAACCTGGAGAAGGATACGAAGAGTGAAATGTGCTGCGTTTCCAGCCAAATCAGGATCTTGGCATGGGACTCCCATTAGCTCGATCATCTCGCGCTTGAGTACCGGTTCAGCTTTAGCAGGGCGGAGCCGGAAGAATTTGTGCACAGCCCGCTCAATGTCGATAGTTTCGATAGCTTTGAAATGCACGCCGCAACTTCTCAAGAACTGGAGACTCTTGTCTGGCCCGTGGGAGATGAGGAAGAAGTTCCCGTCCTGGATAATGGCCTTGATCTGCTCGTCGAACTTATTGACCGGAACGTGTCGCATTCTTCCAAAGCGGAACAAATTCTCAAATTCGGGAGAGTATTCTTCGTCCCACTCTTCTTTGTCCCCGACGACCCAATGATGAGACTCTATAACGCTGGCAGCTAGGTTGACACCGGGCTCAGGAGGATTCGCCGATGCATCTCCAACACGGTCGGTATCAGGCTCAGAAGCTTTCGCCAATGCGTCTCCGAGACGGTCGGTGTCAAAGATAGAGATGCCAATCTGGAAGCTATCGACTTCGCCCCTTTTCACCACATCATCTGCGATGTCGATAGAGAGAATTTGGAAGCTAGAGCCTTCTTTATGGTACCATCTTCCGAAGAGGTCGCTTCCCGCGTCTACGGCGTATCCAATCACCCACTGAAATAAGAATTGCTCCGGATGCTTAAACCATGAGTGGTAGTCCTTCACAGTGCCCGACATTTTCGATCGTGGCTTGAAACAGCGTGATGATTGTTCGCAGGCGGAAGTTTGAACTGACAGTCGTGGGAGGAGAATCGCAATGGGGAGAAGGACAAGTTTCTATGCGTATAGAATGGATACTGCGAGGGGATTTATAGCGAGAAACAAAACTTGGCTATGAATTTGCGTGGATTGCTATACTTTGGTGGAAATGAAAGCTTTGCAAAAACGAAACCCAAGTCATCCAAGTCGTGTTGTTTGGTTGGAGGAGCTCCTTCTTGAAGAGCTTTAACTTGGCAATGGGCAAGAAGCCTCCGCGACAACAGCTTCCTTCAGATCAGAAGTAAGGCAAGAGCTCTAAAGCTTTGATGCAGGTACGTATGGATGATGTACGGGAAGAACGACACAACACGCAGAGCAAAGGCGACGGTTCCTGACCGAACACTGAACACCCTGAAGTACTGTATCATCCCGACAAGATGACTAAACCACCAAGTTTCACAACGAAGGAATTTAAGAATGAATGGAGAGGTATAGGAAGAGAAAGCATATGAGTTCTTGACAATACAAGTTGATCGCAAGATAAGTCGTCACACGAACTGATGCCAAAGTATGAGATACTTGCACCAGCTTGAATTTGGTCGTAGTCAATAGCCATGTGAAACTGCTTTGTTTCACCTTAACTCATTATGGTCAAACAAAGTTCTTCCGACTAGAAGACGGTGGTGAATAATTAGGCAGGCTAGGGGAGGATAGAAAATTGAACTTTGATCCTAAATGATGAAAAGACTTAGGCAACTTGGTGCAAGTTTAGGATGAGCTTAGAATAACATTTGCAGATTTACTTCACAAATTGTATCAAAATGTGATATTTTCTCTCCCCTCATACACGCCGAGTCACAAAAGCCAAGATTTAAAAGTCTGGCTGAGCAAAAGGCTATTTTATAAGACACAACAGATCAAGAAGACTAACATAATTACATCCAATTACATCCTTTTTATAACTCTCGGTATCTTCCCTTTGCAAAGCCCATGGGCTTTCAAAAATATGTATTGGTTATCGTGAAAGCTTCTGGGTAAAAGCTCATATCAGGAAGAATAAAGAAATCGTATTCTCATTCATCGCCTGTATTCGCAGCCTAAAGCTTAACCTGGGCAGTAGTCAACTACCTTATATTGAAGACTAATGCAATAAACTTTACTTCTTAAACATTTGTGAGGCTCTATTCAGTGGAAGATCAGATAAGGTTAATATTCCTAACGCTAATTCTCTGCATCGCTCACGCTTCCACTCTGAGGGTTTGCGTGTGACTTAGACGACCCATTCACCTTTGCGACAATGACAGCTGAAGTATAGTAGGCGTCGATAACAGGCCCGCTTCTGTACTGAAAACTCATGTTAGTGTGTCTGCCGCAATAAAATAAGTTTCCATACTCACAGTGATGAAAGCAACAGCGAGTTCCTTCGAAACCTTCGCTCCAGGTAGACCATTCCACCAAGTTATATCTCTCAGGACAGTGAATCATATCTCTCAAGGCAGTGAATCACATTTTTCAGGGCAATGAATCACTGCCCAACAAAGTAACATCTCTTCGGGCAGTGAATCAGTGCCTGGTCAAGTCTCATCTATAAAAGGAGCCCTCCCCCCCGATCTGATCTGACTTAACTTCAACCTTTCATCATCTTCTTCTTTGCAGTCAAACAACAAGTTTCTCCCAACTGGCTTATATTTTCCTGCAACACAAAGATGCCCAGCCATCAGCGACAAAGCCTGTCCCAAGGCCCCTTTGAAGGTCTTGAACTTCAACACGAGGACCAGCATCTTGGTCGGAACATTAGACAGATGATGTCGTCTACTCTGAGCAAAGCAACATTCACCATAAACATGGGACGCTTACGACTACAATATTCTTCAAGAGAGCCCCGAACAACTTCACCAGGAGTTTCGCAAGTATGTTTCTGATGTCGCGGACGGGTTGAAGCAGTCCAAGGACAATGAGACCGCTTTAGATGAGTACATCACCGACGAACTCGCTCATATGGTCTATGGGTCCAATATGATCGAGGTTGCTGGTGGAGGTGTCGATATTACAGTAAAGCTCTGCAAAGATGTCTTTCGAGGCAAAGAGCTTCCCGAAGAGATCAGCGAACGTGACTCGGACTACCAGGACCTCAAACTCTATCTCCTAAACAAGAACTTACCTGCTGGACATGCTGCTGTCCTACGAAGCCGCCGAGAGATCGTTCAGCATGCCGAAGCTGCACGATACATGATCGATCAAGTTTACATCAAGGGCAAGGACTTGTCTCATAAGATCATCAGCGAGACTCATGGTATCTTAACAGAAAAGATCGACCTCGATGGGACGCCTTGGCAGTATTACAGTGGCCAATACCGGACATGGAACGTGAGATGCGGTTCTCATGTCTTCATGGATTACAGTCAAGTCCCTAGGGCAATGCGTGATATGATAGATGAGCTTGACTCCGACATCAAGGCGACCGAACAAGGACAGTTCGACCCTGTCGTACTTGCAAGCAAGTACTGCCACAAGTTTGTCAACATTCACCCATTTGCGGATGGAAATGGTAGAATGTGTCGTCTTATTCTCAACGCTCTCCTCCTCAAATACAGCGGGGGAATCATCTGCATCGGGCAGGATGGCCAAGATCGACGAGAGTATATGCGCATTGCCATAGAGGCAAGTGCAGGAGAAGCCTCACAGAGTCAAGGGTCTGGCGCTGCGAACTACAAGCAACTCGCATCTTTCACACTTCGACATGCCCGCGACAGTATGCGCAAGGTTCGACAACTCTTCAAGCGGGACACTTAGAGTCCCAACATGACAGGATCATCGCTGAGTGGCAGTATGAAAGCTTGACAACGCCTCTGGTCTTTATTATCCCAGAGAATTGTGATAGAGCTACTTGTTGTTGGAAGGTCACCATCGTCAGCAACGCTACCTCCGATGGCAAACATGTCTTGGCCAGCTCGCTTGTCTAGGGCAGAGGACACAGCAGAGAGGAGACCGCAAAGGGGAGAAGAGTCGGCAGTGGGCTGAGAGTCAGGATCGGGAGATTCCATGTAAATATCGTGAGCTGAAATTTGCTAGGGTTGGGTGCGAGTGATGAGCTTGCGAACGGGGATGATACTTGAGGAGGTGAGGACAGTCGTTTATACACCACAGATCAGCTTGTGCCATGACACAATAAGTAGCAATACCATCTGCGAGCCAGAATTGGCAAGCGAATCTACTTGTTATTTAAATTCACGGTGATACACACGCAAAGTCTCAATGTTGGTGCAACAACAATGATGATCTAAGTAAGTCCTGGTTCCTTGAGGCCGCAGGAACCGAGACAGCACCAATAATCCCACGATGCTGCCTAAAGATGCCTGGGGATTCTCTGACATTGAGTTAGGGCATTAGAATAAACTGGTCCAAAGCTCTTCTAAAATACACTAAGCTTACACAAGTCTTTTTACCACTTAGGATAAAGGTCTTAATTTACTGTGTCGCCTGAGGCAGTGAGGGCGTTCACGCTGGCACTTTGTGCTTCATGTTGGAGACATGGCGGGTGAACAGAGCGATACTGTCACAACAAAGCATCACCCCTCCCGGTGAGATGCGAGATTATAGAAAAGGCGATATAGGTCAATGATCCAGATTGCAAACACCATGAAGCTGGTGATGTCTTCTTCTAAAGTCTGATGGTCATGGTGCAATCCATCTCCCGATAAACCCAAAAGTGGAAGGCGGTCACAATTCTGCCATTTGCTCATGGGCTCACCTCTCAAGATCCCGCAAGCTTCTCGTCCGATATAGCTTCAATCGCCATCAACGATCCACCACGAACCGCCCGACGACACATTTACCTCTCCCCGAACTCCCACGGGTACTCTATCTACGAATCCTACGACTCCGAGCCTCACGCGCTCGTCCCATGGCCGCAATGGCCGTCCAGAACCCCCCGGTGCCAGAGGAGAAGCTCGGAGTCCCCTCTCGCAACCCTCTACCTCTGTCCGCATCACAAGAAGCACAAGTCCGAGACATCTTCTATCAAAAAGTCCGAAAAGAATGCGCCGACGAGATCAAAGGCACGTCCCCCTCCACCACCAACTTCACCCCCCCAAACTGCAACTTCAACATCACACCACTAACACCCCCCCAGCATTCGCCGCATGCGCCCTCGGCCGCACATTCACCGTCTCCTTCGCCTGCCGCCCCGAACACCGCTCCATGAACAGCTGCATGAAGCTCCACGCCACACAATCCGCACACGACGAGGCACGCGAGGAGTGGTTCGCCCTACGAATAGAGCGCCAGCGCGAACGCGAGCGAAAAGCCAGAGTCGCACAGGCCCAGGAGGAGTTTATGCGGGAGTGGTGGGGATTGCCGGAGCACGTGCGGCTGTCGAGACAGAAGGAGATGGAGCAGAGGGGGGAGAGGATACATGGACTTACGGCGAAGGATAGGCCGAGGGGCGAGGGACAATGATAATGAATTGTTGCATCTGTGGCGTTTTGGGGTATTGGACATCTACGCTGGCGGGCTGTAAGAATAAAAGGTGATGTGAGGATAGGACAGTGTATCACTATGATCAAGACCAATGCCGAGACGGCATTCCGAAAGAGTCAGTTCAACTCGATAAGCGTATGCAAAGCTGGAGCCCAACAGGGTGAGGACCAACGCCGAGAATGTTTAAGAGCATGCATCTAATGCTTGCCGACTGATTCCCAAACAGCCTCATGCCCATGATCGTCATGAAGACTACTCAACCCAGCCGACAGATTGTGACAATTGCCGCCAGGCCTGCTTATCAAACATTCATCAGCATCTGTTTCTCGCTCAAACACAAACAGAGTCTTTAGTGGTGGAAACGGCAGTTCATGTATGTAACTGTAACAAAGGGTTGCGTGCATCAAGCGGTGAACCTCGATGTTTCAAGGCCACAGACGGTCAAACGGAAATAAGACCTCTAACCTAGAGGGGGAGCCTATATCTCCAGCCCCTCCCAGAATCCATGATCTCTAACATCATCTTCATAGGCTCAATCCCTCCTCAGCTCATTACCGACTTATACTCCCCGCACAATATCACACAAATCACCCGCGCAGAGACCAGTAAAAACACTCCCCGTCCAACCCAAATCTTTTCGCCCCGACCAATAGCGCTGCAGTTTCCCCTCTCGAGAGTCGCGCCTCCAGGGCGCTTAGGTCCCTGCTGCAGTGTGACATCCCCGCCAATTGGTCCATCTCCCTGATGCTATTTTTAACCGTGTTAGTCCCAAGATGCGAGCGCTTAAAAGTGCGATGCATGGAGAATATAATATCAACCAACATGCTTTCCATTCTGGGGAATTCTCATGCTTGTTTTTCTGTTTATGTGGAAACATAACATTATTACGTGACAATTTTGTTTTGATCATGAAGCGATAGCAGCACAAGTGGCATTTTTCATCGTCTTGCTAGCCTAGACCTCTCTATTGATACCCCTGCTCTTCTGGGAAGAAAGTATATACTGTTTGATACAGAAGAATGTCGACTCCAACCCCAGGCGGGTTCTCTCTATTCCCGAGTCCAAACTCGTCAAAACCACCGCCTGTCTCACGGAACCAAACGCCAAAACCTCGCCGTTCTGAATCTCGCGAGAGGAGAGCTCCAACGCCCAGTGACAGACGAGCACCTACACCCAGCGATCGACGGGCTGCAACACCACAGGCAATGACTCCAGAACCAAGACCTGCGTCGCCGGGAAATGGGCGACAGACACCCCAGAATAGAGCTCACACGCCCATTGAGTTCGAGCCTGTGCAGAGTGAACCGCCCAAGCCTGTAAAGGTTCAACGACCTAGACCGACGGTTCAGATCCCTGGACGTTCTGATACTGGCTTTGCGCAGGGTCCTACCCTAGTTAGAAGTAGCAGTGATCGATCAAGAAGTTCAATCGCAAAGCCGCCTTTGGGTGGTGAAGCTACTGCGCAGCCTTTACGGTCCATCTTCCCGGCTTACAACCCAGAAGTACCACTTGGTCAACAGAACTATGTCCCCACAGAGATCCAACCAACTCAAATGCCGAGAGCTGTCATAAGCCGTCAGACATACCACGAAACACCAGCCGGGTCAGCCCCTCGAAACCCCGTCCGGAGCCCAGTCATAAGTCCCATGAGCGTTCAATCAGCACAGTCAACATGGCCACATCGCAATGTCCAACAACAAGAACCACCACTGATTCCAACGGTTAGTTCGAATGAACAGCTCAAGAACTACTGGAAAGTCGCAAACGGATGGCAAGCTTCACCGTCAGAGGGTCGAGTCTACTGCATGAAACTAGCTCAGGAGAAAGACGCCCCCGTGTACAGCCTCTCATCAGCCTCACAGCCATTCTACAACCTCCGTATAGATCCAACGTCTGCTTCGGCATACGTCACTCTCACACGACATGATCCCAACAAACCGTACAAAGCCCCCAAGCCTGAAGCTAGTTCTTCAGCGAGCAGTATCATCAGCGGCGTTGTCGGGCACAACAGTAATTCCTCTGGCACAAAAGTCACCGATACAAAACACTGGCAAGAAGCGCTCACCACGACTCTTGAAGAAGAATCCCGTCGTCATCTTCCAAACGATGGCCTCGTCGCTCTTCTCATGCCAACGCCCGCTACAAAAATGGCCATCGAGCGCGCTCAAGATCCTCAATCCGTCATGCTAGCAGAGCGCGAATGCGCCCGTCTCGTCTGGGACGAAGACAGCTCTCACCACTTCCTCGTACATCCCTCCCTCGCAACACCCTTCTGCGTCACAATCGAGCGCTCGCCATCTTGGTCACGGGTAGAATACACCCTTGAGCATAATGAATCACCACAACATCTCGCCAAACTCACCCGCGACGGTACAGGCGGCGGCTGGCTTGAGATCGATACTGGCATCGCTGCAAAGATAGAGTCCTACTTCATCGTCGACGTCGCCGTCACAGCTCTTCTGCTCGTCGCGTCAGCCGATGAGAAGAACACGCCCGCAATGGAAGTCTTTGAACCACCACCTCCTCTCATCCTCACAGCCAAGCAGGAAAAGCGCCTGAGTAAAATCGGCAAACGCGATGAGAGAAAGAAGCGCCACATGGAGTCATTTGAGATTGACGTTGAGAGCCAAGATGAGAGTTTGGGTAAAAGTAAACCGCGAGAGAAGGAGGATAAACTGCCCTTCCTGATCCGCGTCATCGTCAAGATCGTAAAGGGCCTGTTTACGTGCTTCATCTGGATATTGACAATAAGCTTCAAATGCGTCGGTTTCGCATTCAAGGGTTGTTACAAGTGCGTAGGATCAAAGTATTAATGACGGACACGGACATGATATGGACATTTATTTTAATTCGAGTGCGGCCAGTTCTTTCTTCTGTATCATAAACCCATGGTGTTTTGAAGGGTATCTATTAGCTAGCGAGCCGTAACGAACTGAACACGAAATGACAAACCAAGGCCCCAAATGAACATTGATGATATTTTATCGCTTCCGTGTCCGCACCATGATCTTCTTTCCTTTGCGTGTAGTTCCTCCCGACGTCGCTGTCTTGGCCATCTTTGCGCGCTGGATCTCTAGTTCACCCTCTGCGTCTGTCAGGGCCTTGAGCTTCTTGCGCGCATTCTCCAATTGGCGACGAAGACGGCGGAGGGCCTTTGCGCGCTCGAATTCTTCCTCTTTCTTCTTTTCATCGTCAAATCCTTCAAATGTCTTGTCGGCGTCATCTTCTTCGAGATCCAGTATTGTTTCCTCGCGCTGTTCTTCATCGTCCATGAATACAATCTTCCGGGGCTCTTTAGGTCTTGACGGAACGGTCGCGAAGTCGAATTCCGAGTCGCTGCCCTCGTCTTCATCGTCCTCATCCTCGTCAAGCTTGTCGAAACCTCGTGTGAGAACAACCTGCTCTTCCAGTCTCGCGACCTCCTTCGCAACAACCTGTCGCATCGTTCGAATGTATCCAAGATCCTGTGTCTTCAAAAGCCGCACGGTCTCAACATCCATCGCCTTGTTTCCTCGATCGCCCTCGACCGTTCCGCTCCATCGCTTGCCATCCTGGACCCTCGAGCCCGGCCCCTTTCGGGACATCATACCAAAGTAGAATTCATCCTCGTTTCGCTCGGCCGCTTTATCTTTGAGGTTCTTGAGCTGCGCCTTCTTCTTGTTGAAGTCCTTGGCTCGAAGCGAGTAATCCTGCAATCGTCAAAAGCTGCTTCGGTGGGGGTGTTGGGGGCTCAACAAACCTTGTGCTTCTCGAGAAGACCGAGCCTTCGGCGTTCTAAAGGCTGCGCACGCTCTCTGTGAGGGCGTCGGGCCACGGCATTTCGCATAGACGACATTTTGGCTGGTTGTGTTGTGTGTACGACGAGATGCAAAAGAATTAATCGTCGGCGCTTGTCAGAGCTGGAAGAGTGGCAGAATTTTCGACATTTTTGGCGGTGAGGCAAAGTCAGTAAATGTGGCTTGACAGCAGCACCAGCACCGCCACAAATGATGTTCAGTTAACCTTAACATCGTCGGAAGCTAGATTCACATCCGGTAAAAGCACCAATCTCAAAATCGTTTGGTCCAATCTTGGCGATGCAATACCAAGCTTTTTCTCATCTAAATCATCCGTGGCATCATGAACTGTCCCTTGGCTGGAGGCTAATCAGGGGGTTTCAGCCCGTCAGCAGCTTTGACTTTTGGCTTTTGGCTTTCAGGGCACAACAGCTAATGCACCCCTGAAAATCGCCCTGTTCTCAGTGAGGGATACGAGAAACAGGCCGTGCATATCCCTTCCTCCACCTGATATGTCATACTTGGACACTAAAGACGGTAAAAGTGACTGCGCATCTCGCGTCTGCAGATTATGTTTATTCTTAGAAGCTAAAGCTTGCGTGTCAGCATGTGGAGAATCAAGTGTTTTATTCCTTGTCTCGAATCCTTGTTCCCGATCCCTTTAGTTGTTATAAGATCTTGGCTGGCCCGGACTGTTCTTTACCTGTTCATCTTTCTCACGATCGGCATTAAGTAGTAACATTCTCGGCGCTCCGTAGTTCCAATGGTGACCTGAATTGGCACCGTATCATTCCTTATTCTTTCTTGTTTCTGTATTTCTTGAGTGCTATACTTTATCAAAATGGGCGTCGGTCTGCCATTCACCCCGTCCAGGGCATTATTATCACTCTTCATCACAGTACTCGTATTCTACTGCCTTTTCAGCGAAATATCAGGCCCCAGCATACAATTCATCCCCAGCAGCTATGACTGGAGCAAACACACCCTCCGGTATCCATTGACCATCAGCAGCATGGCCAAGCCCCCACGAGGATCGCCAGCCAATTTACCACGTATCCAGCACGACTTTTCCAACCCCGAATTGAGAAAGCGGGAGCTGGAGACCGCGGATCAACGACGAAAAGACATTAAGCAAGCATTCAAAAAGACATGGAGGGCTTATGAGAAGTATGCTTGGGGAAGCGATGAATTGAAGCCTTTGAGCTTGGAGGGTCGTGATACTTTTGGTGGGTGGGCTGCGACCATCTGCGACAATCTCGACACGTTGTGGATCATGGGCATGAAGCGGGAGTTTTACAGAGCTGTTGACTTTGTGACTCGCATGGATTGGGATATCCCGACTGCTGATGGATTCAATGTTTTCGAAACTACGATTCGACATCTTGGTGGTCTACTTTCGGCTTATGAGCTCAGTGGAGAGAGTGCCTTGCTGGCCAAGGCGATTGAGCTGGGAGATCTTTTATATGGCACCTTCGACAATCCGGAGCACATGCCACCACACACGATCAGATTCAAGACTCTAAAAGAAGGGGAAGGCCATCCAGAACCGCGACAGAGCGCTGCCAGTTTGGGTAGTATGACCATGGAGTTCACCCGTTTATCGCAACAGACCGGCAACCCCAAATACTACGACGCCATTGATTACATCACCAAAGCATTTGAGAGAACGCAAAACGAGACCGCCATTCCAGGACTCTGGCCTCTTCAGATCAACGCTGAGAACGGATTCAAGGTTACCGACGACACGTTTGGCATGGGCGCTAACGGCGACTCGCTGTATGAGTATCTCATCAAGGAATACGTTCTCTTACAGGGTCTTGAGCCCAAGTATGGGAAGATGTACCTTGCTGCTGCAGATGCTGGCATCAAGCACCTGATGTTCCGACCCATGCTGCCCGATCAAGATGATGTCCTCATGCTGGGCGAAGCATCGTTCCCTCCCCGAGTCAAGGAGTCGCGATTGAGTACGGGCGTGCAGCATTTGACCTGCTTCGCTGGAGGCATGTACGCCCTCGGCGGCAGAGCTCTTGGTCGCGATGACCACGTTGTCATTGGCGAGAAACTTGCTCGGGGCTGCGCGAAAGCCTACGCTGCATATCCCAGTGGCCTCATGCCAGAAATCGTGCAAGTCGAACGCTGTCCAACCCTCGAGCCCTGCGCCTTCGAACCAAATTACAAAAAGGAGCCTCTCGGTTTCCGCGCAAGAGAAGCATCGTACCTCCTGCGACCAGAGACAATTGAGAGTATCTTTTATCTCTACCGCATCACCGGCAAAGAAGACCTTCGCGACATTGCTTGGAACATGTGGACTGCGATCCGCGCTGCTACTGAGACAGATAACGCGTTTGCGGCGGTGGAGGATGTTGACGCGGAAGAGATCAAACATAAAGACTACATGGAGAGTTTTTGGATGGCAGAGACGTTGAAGTATTTTTATCTGATCTTTGAGGATGAGGAGGTTATTAGTTTGGATGAGTGGGTGTTCAATACGGAGGCTCATCCATTGAGACGCATGGCGAACTAATTATGAGGCAAGTCAGAGATAGAAGTTAAGTAATATTCACACTCGGCTGTCCAATAGAGACTAAGTAATAGCATTCGAAACCCCAATATGGAGTACCATCTAGTCTATCTTGTCAAGTCCATCCAGTCTATCGTACCAACCCCATCCCTGTTAAGGCGTAGTCACTCCTTGCTCAGTGCAAGGACCAGGAGGGCCTCAAAACAAGCACACAAAGTCCTACGTTGATTCATGTCCGACTCAACAAAAAAATTCGTGCTCGACCAACAGAGAAAGTAGGTGGGTATCATAATTTCGGGATCGAATTCGCGTTCCTGCCGCGCTCCTGATTGGTTTGAAGTTTGCACGCTCTGATGACCAGACCTCGACGTGTCTTGGTTCCATCAACCAGGTGTGCAGCATTGGTGATGCTGCGCCAGGCTGTCAGCACAGTTACTAGGACTACTGACGGGTCGGCTCACCTTGTTTTGAGGACTTCTCGTGCCCCGAATCCTGGCTCTCAATTTGGGTGATCTGCGATGACATTTTTATGGGAGATAATGCGCGTTGAACACGAAGATACAATTGAGCAATGCCCTGGAATCTTATGTTCGGATCTCGAGTCAAAACACTTATGGCTTGGAGAGGCTCTAAATACTGTTGCTATTCTATGGAACCATTGATGTCGATCAATCGCAATGTAATCACTGATTGATCATTGATCCATCAGTGATGAATTTTTGATACGCCCAAGATGCACTAATTTTGAATTGACCGAAAAACGGGTGAGTTTTGCTTTTTATTTTGCTCTGAACGTTCATGCAAACTACGGAATGAGTCGACGGGTTCTGGGGCCGGCCTGTCATCCGAAAAAATTCGAATCCAACGACCAACGGGATCTTCTGCCATTCCCCATTGAGAATGGTCAAGTGCCGGGAACCATGACAGATCTTACTTTCCGTCACTCCGTTACATGGGTTAACCCAGATTCTTTCTGGGGTCGACGTTGTTCTGAATGGGACTCCGTGATAAGCTCAGTGGGTGAATAAGTGGATGCAACAAGAAAGGACCAAGTAGATAAAGTAAGGCATCTGGCGAACCATTATGTTGTCCTGACACCTCCTTTCCTCTCTTCTTCTTGACAACACAAACCCTTTGTCCTTGGTCCCCACTAGGATGATGGACGACGCTCTTGTGGAGGTTGATGGACTCTTTGCTGGTCTCATCTATCTCGATACGACCGATCCCCCACTCATCAAGAGAACTTCAAAGAATTGGTTTAGTCTTGCTGCTAAGTTAGACCTTAGCTGCAACGCTTGCGAAACGCGCTCGGAGACCGACACGTCGGACGCACCACCTTCCACGATCGATGAGGGCGTCCTAGCCCGAGACGCTGCATGGTCCTCTATTCGAACTATCCGAGACGGAATGCAGATTCTCTGGGATCATTTTGTCGATGCCTCTCGGGTTCTAAATACGCCGACAATTGAGAGCCTACGCAAGAGCTACGATGGTGCTCAAGGTCTTTGCTATGAAGGAGTGTTTGCTTTCCGCCATACCGTCGTTGGCCAGAGACATGACGATTTAGTCGCGATATTTGCCTTTTGTAGCTTGTCATATGTGATTGCTCGCCTTTTCTGTGCTTGCAATGAAGCCAACCAGATCGACATACCAGCCGGCCTCCGGTCATGGCGTGATGCAATCAAGGAAGAGGACGAGCGACAGGCCTTTGATACTCTGGCCGTGCAGATGTGGCCAGAAGCAATTAATACTGTTCATTTTCAGCCTTTGGCGCGATCTGCGAGTACTCACGGCCACAGTAGGAGCGCGTCTCCTGTGTCTTCCATCCCCTACCAAAGTGCAATACCACCACTTGCTCCTGATTTTAGCAGCACGCAGCCATTTGATGGCGACCAGCGAGGTCAAGAACTCTCCAATGTCATGGGGAAAGGTTTCGTCCCGCTTCAGTATGCGTGGCAAGATAACAAGCAAGTCAACAACGGTGTGGCAAACACTTCCGCAGCCGTCAGCCAGTATCCCCAGAGCTTGACGGACCTACTCAATGATGCTTTTCCCTTGCATGCACCAAGCAACGAGTCATACACTGACTATCGGGCCTGGTCAGACTCGGGCTCCATTCTATCACAGACCTTCGACATGACGGAACAGCTGAACTGGACAGCATTCAGAGACCCAACAGGTCAATCAGCCGGCTATCCCAAGGTCATCGCCGATTACGCCCGGGAATTGAGTGATACAGCCCTGCCGGGAACAACATCTTGCGCCAGCGCCCTACAAGAGACACCTACATTCATGGTTGTCAGAGAATATATCCGCGACAACTGTAACTTTTGGCACCGGCTCGCCGGCTCTGGTATAGTGTCAAAAGACCACAAATCGCGTCGCTCATGGCAGAATAAAACACCAGCCTGGATGGAGTGCAAACAGACTTCATCATACATCCAACAACTGCGAGCTGTAGAGCACACTCGCAATCCAGAGTCGCGTGGTATTGTCGCTGTTGCTGAAGCTTACATCAGATGGGGGTTTCTCCAAAGTGTCGAAGATACAAAGCTCTATATGGAAAAGCTGGGAGACGTAAGTGAGACTCATACAGAAAATAAGACAGCGAAACTGATTTGAACGGTCATAGTTGCTATTCGACACCGAGATAGACCGTCAAGATTTCTGGAGATGGATTAAGGGCTTTTCGGGTGATAATGAGTACGTCGACGTACTGGCCTAGCTGATGGGTGACTGGCTGACAATTCTCTAGGAAACCATTGGCATGCCCATACTGCTCTCACAGGGACAAGTATGAGGGCAATCTTCGAAGACATATGAAGAACAAACACGGGGTTGAGTACGAAAGATCGAAGCAGCAAATGAAGGCTCCAAGACCATAAATGAGTGAGGATAAAATCACGAGGCCAACAGGAGTGATAAACTCGGGTAAGACTCGAAGGGCAAAACTATAAATGACTACAGTGACGGGCAAACAGTGGCCCAAGACCTCAATAGAATAGGTTTAGATGTGTATATTGATGGTTTAATGGCTTAAGAGCGGAGGATATTTGTTTGGTATGACAGGGAAAACTGGAATATAGACGATTGGGATTAATAACTAAATACACTTATCGTGAATCTGCATCCGAGAGTGACCCCGGCGGATGATGGACATCGCAATGGAACCTCAACATGCGCCTCTGCCGACTGATCCCAGCGAAACCTCCACCTATAACAAGCCTGATAGAGACCCTTGTTTTTCAGCACCCCAGGCAATTGCCATGTGGCCCTTGCATGGGTTAAATGGGTTCTTCTTCCTCACAACTTGGATGGTTCAGCCTCTGGAGCCCGTGTTGGTTGTATCTACCATGGGCATTCAAGGCTCTACTTTGTTTGACTGGCTTCGCCAGTGCTGCTGTTAGCGTTAGTTTCCAAGAATGTCAATAAGCGCTGTGGTCTACCGATATCCGTGGGACTTCTAGCAATGTGTAAAAGCTCGCTGTCCACAAGTGTAAAGTACACACTAACTTATCCCGGTGCCTATAGCGCATTGTAACAAGTTCTAAACAATAACTTCCTTTGACTGGTCTAATTGGCAGTTAATATAGCCCTCTAAGATCATCCTCTGTACCACGTCTGACGCCACTTCGACTCCCTTTTTTTCCCCAAGCTCGATGCGACAACACAATTGTGTTGTGGCGCTCAAGTTGGCCCTTGGCAGGCCGTCACAACTTGGGGGTTTCAGTCGACACACAACGAATGCTCAATACCGAGCCTTATACAGAGTCTGGGATCTGGCCCGACTTAAGCTCAATTGACTCGCTCGACTCTTGCATGCCAAACATGCTGGGCTTCCAAGCGCATGGAAGTCCAGTTGCTGAGACTCTGATTGACAGTCGATTCGACACGAATCCTCTCCACGAGCCGGACGATCGATCGCTGGCGGGAAGAACAACGACAACGAGTGCTGGTTCCTTGCAGACAACTTCTGTATATCTGGTAGTTCAAGAATTCATCCATCAAGACAGCCAATTCTGGTTCCAGCTTACTGGTCGCGGTTTAGTCTCCAAGGATACCGCATCCTGCCAGTCATGGTGCCAAGAGCGATGGGGTCAGAAGAAGCACATACGGACATCATATATCCAGAATCTATTGTCTGCCGGACGTACCCAAGACAAGACTTCATCCGGTATAATATCTGTCGTCGACACATTTATGGATTGGGGATTTCTCTAAAGCATCGAAAACATCGAGTTTTATATGGAAGGGCTGGCAGATGTAAGCGAACCGTGTGCGTTCTAAGAAGACCTTGAATTGACCTAGCTGGGTGTAGCTACTCTTTAATGACAGGACATCCTGTCAAGAGTTCAGAGACTGGGCTCGAGCTTCCAGCGGGAGTGGCAAGGGGTAAGTCAATGGAGCTGAGCTCAGTGACAAGTCATGTACTAATGTTCGCAGAAAACTGTATCCGTGCCCCGACTGTACATACAGTAGCAAGTGGAAACACAACACCACAAGGCATCGCGCACTCATCCATAAAAATGAATGAAATGAACGATTGAAGAAGAGACGGAGTGCTGGATCTAGATCTGCTACCGTAGAATGACTACAACAAACAGCAATCCAGGAACTCGCGCAGCGATCACAAATTACATGACTTGTAGACTAGACAACGAGGAGAAACAACATAGTAACTGCTTATAGGTTTGAACGGGGACAGCGGGTATATACAAAAAGGTAGTGAACAATTAAAATATCATCCATGCCTATCGCTATTGGAAGACCTCACACCACCGCCTTTAGCAACACTAGCATGTCGGACTAAGTTCTCTGTGACCTGCGCTGTCTTAAGCTCCCAGGATTCCTTAGACAAGGTACGGAAACGAACCCCCAGCCAAGTTGCAACCCAAGCAGTCAAGTTGGGCATTAAGTTACTCCTTTAATAGGTGCACAAGATCAAGACTCATTATAGACAAAGATCCTCTGCTTTGGAATTCTGGCAGAAAGTAAACCTCTATGTTGAATCTGACCATGATACTCAAATTCGTTGGCGTGGTTGTGGCGGGTTAGATGGTGGTAGTTTCTCAACACCATTGTTTGAGAAATTTGTGTGATGGCAGTAGACCAGTATAGTGGCAATTCTATTGCGCGAGCCATGCCCTTAAGGCCACGTGACGCTTGCCCTCAGTATATAACCTCTCCTCCTCCCTTTCAACCGCTTCTTCTTTTCTTCTCATCTCCATCAGCTCACCTGGGCCAGCCTCGATTGAATCAGGCCTGCTCGGAATGGTGGTAAGCCTTATCTTCGCGCAGATCAGCTTGGAATTGTCAGCTTTAGCAGCTTAAGCTTACCTTGATATCGATCTATCCTTTAAGTTCTTTATGAGCCCCTTTGACATTTTGTTTGCAGTTTCTATCTGGATCGTTACTGATCGAAGGATTCAATCATGATATCAAGCACACGTGCTCGGAACTATCATCCCCGTCAACGAACTATTCCCCAGTACAAGACTATTACGCATATTTGACGGCAAGGTCCTCAAAACCTCGATCTGACTAGTTCCAAAAACACATACTCGATTTCGAGCAGGGGTGCTTGGAATGATCAAATCAACCTAGTGTATCATCTACCCCCCTCTGACCATCCAACATGGAGGACGAATACCACATAGAGGAAACATACCTCGCCGCGCGAGCTAGTTTCACGGACTTTTTCCGTCGGATGGAAGACCTCGGCTTCCAGAGCTTAGCTCGTATCGAATGGTCGCCCGAGTGGCACCAATCGGCAAACTACAACATAGTGCACCCAGGACCAGGAGAACTCGATCGCATGCCTTTCAGGGACGTGATTGAGAGCCCATATTGGGATGAGACCCTAGTACTGCATAACTTCGACTGCCCGCACGGCAACTGTCGGAAGATCACTCCGAAGCTGCGGCGAAGTACCTATCGTTTGAGACTTCGGCCGACCTATTATCATATGTTAACGTCGTCGGTTAGTTCCGCCCGTACTTTTCTTGGAGTATTCCCATACACATACAGGCACTGACATGATCCAGTTCCTGATATAGTCGGACCTGCAGTCGAGGTTATGGCCGCCTTACAAAAGGATGATACCACTGCATTCGGGATCATGACCTCCATGCAAAAGAATGATTTCAGCAAGTTTGCCAAGAGTTCTTTCGCTTAGAACCCGGAAGACATCGACAACCATGAGGAAATCTCGACCCTACTTGAAGCCGCAGTCGAAAAAGACGAGGATACATTCCATGTGCCAACCCTCTTGGAGACCTACAATCATTTCGTCATTTTCCCTCGCGCCCGGGAATGGCTTGAAAAGCTTTTTGACAGTCTGGTCGAACCAAAGCTTGTGCCAGTTACTGCTAGATCCGAATGGGACGAGGACGGAGTTGAGATTGACCCAAAACTGTTCATCCTGGCTCACGCGATCCAGCTCCTACGATTCGCCCCTGTCCACTTTCGCAGAAGTAATTCTCATAAGACGACGGACTCTTACACCCGTCGCTTCCCCATTGGCTTTCCTCAGCCAGCATTCAATCGACCTAGCATTCTTGGCGGCTACAGCTATGACGATGTACTTCGTGCGCTCCTGTTGATGTTCTTACTGTCAGAGCAGCGGGCTACTGGGCAACTTCTACCTCTGTTACCATCTAAACCTAAACCCAGCAGAGAGGTGTGGTTGGGTTACAGAAAGACAAGGAGCGATCTTTGTCAACCTGCTAGTGCCGGGTCTTCAACTTCGAATCAGTCGTCTATTTCGTTTATGAAGTTTCCACCTGAAGTCCGACTTATGATCATCGAATCTGCCCTGCCCACTCAGATTGCCCCCTGTATAAATGGCGAAGACGCTTACGACAATGAGGAAGGCACAATCAGATTCCGCGCCATCCATGCAACGCACGAAGATACTTTACTCCCACTCAAACTGTCATGTCGCTATATATATAACGCGATCCGACAATTGCGCCCAGTTGAGGCAGTTGACGGGGATAACAATGAAGTTATCTTTCGTTTCGACTTCAAGCAGGACACACTCCGAGTGTTTGACTACGAAATGCCGTTTCTCAGATCCAAAAGTGGCCGGGAGCTTCCACTCCCTGTCCAGAAGCTGATGGTCATGACAGACGAAACTGCACTTCGGGACCCCATAGAATGGGAAGGAGTAGGCTTGGAGAGGGTCATGAATATCCATCGATTTCCATGGCTTAAAGAGTTCAGCATGGTCTGCCCGGTTGCCAAGAGAGCATGGCGTATTAAGGGTTTCGAACGAATTGGCCCTGTGATCGACATTCATCGAAATCCTTCGACTGAGCTGTGGGGTTCTGATCGCTACAGTCAGCTGGATCCAACTGAAGCCTCGCTTACCTATGCCACCAAGGGGATACCAGCACACACGGGAATCAAATGGAAGTTCAATTACCATTACAACTACGTCATTAATCAGGAATGGAACACTCCCCAAGGTGAATACCTGGGCGCACCCCCTGACTTTGGCGAAGATGCCGATAATCGGCCGGATGGGAGTCATCCTCGAGATCAGTTTATTTCCGATGAAGACAATCGGGCCTTCATACCTTACATTGGCTTCTATGGCTATGATCGTGGCCAGTGCTCAATGGGTGGTAATTGGGCAGGATTTCGCTACTTCGAGGAAACTGGCGCAGTGTTCTTTACACCTTTGTCATGGGATGATGTTGAGCCTTTAGTGGTAGGACCCCATGGTGAAAATGGTGAGAAAGCCCCTTGGAATGAGCATCATCCCCAGTTCGTCGCTCGTGTTTGGATCATCCGGAAGGGCGAGTCGGTTCCAGAAGGACAGGGACAGTACGGTTGGATGCGGGTCGAGGAGGTGATGGACGGTGATCCGGAATGGAAGCAACAGCTCAAGAGCACATGGATGATGGTCCGCGACACCTTTGAGGCTGAGTACCATCACGACTGCGGATATGAGTTCCGTGACACTCGATTCTAGTTATGACATGGGGAGATGGGGAGATAGAGAGGTTGATGCACTGAAATTAGCTACTATAGCCTAGCAAGTATCACACAAAAGTTTGTCTTTTTACAAAATCACTCTGACCCCAGCGGGTGAACGTCACTGTGGAACCGCCGTCAGCCTAGGCCAACCAAGATCTACTAGTATGCGCCTCTGCCGGCTGATCCAACTGACATCTCTGGTGAAAGTTTGACCCATAAACAGGGCTGACATCGGACCCTGGTTCTCCGCCCCCAGATAATCTCGTCGTGGCCCTCGCAGGTTCGTCTTGGTCACAGCTTGGGCAGTTCAGGCTGATCTCCCTAGCTTTCAGATGCCGTATAAACAGCTAGTAATGATAATTTATTAAAAACGAATACTCTGTTGGTGTCAGAAACTCTCTATCGGTCTCGTAGATAAACAAGTTCTAAACAATGTCTTGTCTTAATTGGCAATTCATGTAGCCATTTTCGGTCAACCTCTGCATCACGCCCAACGCCACTTCGACTTGCTATTTCTCTCAAGCTCGATGCGACAACACAATTGTGTTGTGGCTCTGAAGCTGGCCATTGGTCGTCACAACTTGGGAGTTTCAGCTGAGTGGCTAGGCCGAGTCCCTGTTTGTTGGGTCGGTGCATGCACGGATGACCAAGGCTCAACTCGCCTTGGCTCGACCACCCAGTTCTGGAGCATAACTGACGTAGTTCCTTCAGATAATGTAAGCGAAAATCCTCATGGGTACTCAATTGGTTGTGTTTGCTTACCGTTACGAGTTTGGGGCTGAGAACCAGTTTCTTGAGGCATGGTTGAAGGTACGTGGGGGATTGCTTCTGAGACAATATATTGCTTAGTGGGCTTGTTGGAGGACAAGAATGCCCTCTGCAATTCACAAGATATTTATATCATGTTCAAAAATCTCAATTACTCGGAGATCAATTGTAGGCTGCTCAGTCGCTCAATCTCCTCGTCATCCCTAACACTCATGAGCAACTCACGAGCGGTGCTTGAGCAATCCATGAAAGATTCCCTGTTCAATTGTAAATTGAGCGCGCAAAAGCTTGTAACACCCGTTAGCACACTAATTTTGCCCGCGAGCTGCTCGCTTTGCCCCCCTTGGTCCACCAGCTGCTCGCAAACAAACAACGATCGAGATCTGAAACTCATGAGCTGCTCTCCCCGCTCATATGCTTTTTCTTCTGCGCTACCCGACTGCCATGCATGGTGACATCTCATCATGCTCGCAAGCCGCTCATGAGCTGCTCTTATTTCACCAGCTGCTCGCAAACCAACGATGAGCAATTCCAGCAGACCCATGAGCAACTCATCCTGCTCATATACTTTGTTGCGCGGCCAAGCGACTTACATGGGTGGTGACATCTCATCCTGCTCGTGAGCTGCTCGTTTTGCTCACAAGTGATTGATGAGCTGAACGAGCAGCTCATGAGCAACTAGCGTGGCTCATAATTGCTTTTGCAATGCAATGAGCAAGCCACCCTTACCTGTTATGGTTAAACGCAACGTATGCCAAGGCATTCTAGCCCGCCGATCTCCCATATTGAGCATAGAAAGTCCTCCGGTCTGTGCTCCCGCTCAAGAGAGCCGCATGGCTTCATGAGCCTGGGTGGAGGAGTACTGGGCCTCACATAAATCCTGGCATCGGGCGAACCATTTCACCTTTCTTCTTCAAGTCAGTTGCCTCTTGCACTTCTCAAGTGCAGCCCCATACCTCACCAATCCTCATCGACAAACCTTGAAGAGATGCCTTATCTTGACCAGTACAGCCCCTTGTACTCGTACGCTGGTGGCAGCACGCGCGCAGGCGTCGGGGGCTTAAGAGCAGCTGAACACCTCGGAAGAGCCCTCGCAGAAGTCGACGGCCTTTTTGCTGGCTTCACGCACCTCGATGAAACAGAACCTGAATCGAGAGCAAGTCGTTCAAGTCACCGTCAAGATGATCTTGCGCTTGAGCTGGACTCATTGTGCAATACCGCTCCTCCCACCAACGGTACCCCAGACTCACAGCCTGATTCCACCGACCCCAGAAATCAGGCTCGGGAAAATGCGTGGGCGTCCATCCGAACTGTTCGCGAGGGAATGCAAATTCTTTGGGAACACTTCGTCGACGTTTCCTGCGATGTCAACCTCCCAACTATCAACAATATTCGCGCCGAGTACCACGACTCCAAAGGACTTCGCCAGGCGGGAGTCTTTGCTTTTCGCAATACATTAACCGGACCAGCCCCAAATGACCTCGCCAAAATATTTGCCTTTTGCAGCTTATCGTACGTCGTGTCCCGGCTTCTTTGCTCGAGAGGGCGGTTGGCAGAAGGCGACATCCTCGCCGGTATCCGCCTGTGGCTCAATGCCCTCAAGAATGAAGACGAGCGAAAAGCCTTCGAGGTTCTTGCAGAAAGGCTTTGGCCTGAAGCCCGAAACCACCTCCATTTCATTGACTTAAACATGGGAGAGCAGTCGCGCAAGCTAGTGACCTCTTTGCGACGAGCCGAGACGCCATTTTCGGCCCCGTCAACCCAGACATACCCAGCCTTACCACTTGCAAGCCTTGGGCCTCAGACACAGCCGATGTATGAGCAACAGGCACCGGCGTATTCCTACGAGTTGGGAAACTCCCATGAACTGGCCATTGCACCAGATCTTGGGACGATAGACCCCGTACTTTTGAACATACTCGCAGTGGACATTTCGCCAGCCTACGTCTACAATCTGACCGATCGGACATATGACGGGCTCGATTTCTCTTTCGCACTCCCTGAGACGCGTTTTCTTGTTCCTGAACCACAGAAAAATCTCTGGCATGGGTTTGACCCAGGCCCAGTACAACCCCCTCACCTCAACGCCAATGCAATGGGGGGCATCACGACTTGGAATGCGATACCGCCTCCCAGCTCTGGCAGTCCAGCCCCCAGCGCCTCGAGCCACGAATCGCACAGTCAATCCTTATCGAGTACGCGGACAACCGAAGACATTTTGGCATCACTCCAGGGTACTTCTGTATTCACAGCTGTGCTGGAGTCCGTACGAGAGCACGGAGCCTTCTGGTTCAAGCTCGCAGGCTGCGGACTGGTATCGAAAGACCTCCGTTCATGTCTCGCCTGGAGTCAAGAGCGTTCAAGAAAAAGAAAGCAGATAGATACCAGTTATATACAGCCCTTATCGTCAGAGAAGCACACGAGAGACTTGCCGGCTCGTGGAATCGTCTCTGTCGTGGAAGCATTCTTCGATCAGGGCTTGTTACAAAGCATCGAGGACATCAAAAGCTACATGGAGCGTGTCGCTGGCGTAAGCCTATTTCTTTGACAGCGTCTTTGTTCACTGAGATAATATGTATACCGCAGCTGTTGTTCAGCGATCGGGTCGCTTGCCAGGAGTTCCGCGACTGGGTCCACGGCGTTCAGGGAAGTCCGCAAGCTTCCTTGTCCACTCCCAAGGCCACGACCAAGTTGTATGTCTCGGCAACACTGATTTCCTCTATTTGCTCGCGGTAAATACTGACTTGAGACCAGAAAACGTCTATCTTGTCCCAGATGCGACTACACAAGCAACCGATCGTTCAACATGGAAAGACATCAAAATATGCATGAAAGGAATGAAGATGATAATAAGAAGAAGAGCAGGAAATTTTGAAGATGACTTATAGAACCTTCCAGCTAGAAGAGCGAGAAGAGGAGAAGAGGAGAAGAGCTAGAAATGTTATTGTCTTGAAAAGTAACCCCAGGATTGTGCAACAAGGACTTCGGAGAGTTGCAAATTGAGGGTCTCGAGCCTCCCGAGGGCGGAATCAATTACCTATTCCTGAAGTTCATCCAGTTTGTAGAGAAAGTATTGCTTATATTACAATAAAGACCATTATCGAAATTAATTTATTCGTCTTGGTGAATGAAGCGCATATCTGTTATCGCAGTCCTGGAACTATTACCTCGCGATGTCATCCCCGACGACTCAAGTGACTTAAAACTTGTTCACAGCCAACGGTGGCGAATCTGTGGTATCTACGACGTGTGTAGACCCTTCTTCGCAAGACTGAAATGTCCCGCAATGAGTTGTCAACGTAGTAACGAACGGAACATGTTTCTGGAAAGCCTAGCTCCGCAAGTGACCTGGGGTCGTGGCCGAGGGGACAGCTGCAGGCTGACACAACCCTCAGCACATCGCTGTGAAACCGATAAAAAAATAGGCTCGGGGCTCGTTTTCGCAGGAGATAGTGATGTGCACCCCCCGGAAGGGGCCAGTGCAATCCCGGCTAACGGGTACATTGCGTCGGCCAACCATGCCGGCTGGACAGGGTTACACCATCTACATTTAAACACCACAAGTTCAATCGCAGTTAATACCCACATTAAGCATGATGGCAAGGGTCCTTAAACGTGTAAGAGCAGCGGGAGCAAGCGACAATACAATGAAATGTATTTATATATACTTAAACACTGCTACTTTGTGTTTTCAAATCATATTATTATTTTTTCTTCAAGCCGAGAATCCTCTTGAACACCTATTACCTACTATTCCCACGCTTGTGCAAGACATGCTACCAATGCACTCTCACTCCAGTCCCCCTGATACTGGCTATCACAGTGCCTCAGTGCCAGGTTCTGGCCTGCCAGAGTTGAACGAGATAGAGCCCCGGCATCTTCATAATGTGGATAGACAGCTATGGGATTTATCATGTCAATTCGTTACTGATGCCCAGATTGATCAGCTACCAACGACCGTTCCTTCTTCTAACTCCAGCTCACCCTCTCAAGCTCTCTCTTATTCACTATCGTGGGTGCACCAGGCTTCAGGTATTGCTGAAACGCGAAATAAACACACCAACCTGTACGGCTATGGCTTTACGTCGGTATCAGAAGGAGAAAGCTCCGTCTCGTCGCCCGCAAGAACTCCAGGGCAAGACTTCTTGAAGTACCACGACAGAGCCCGAAGGTGTGTCATCAAAAGGTTGCCCCCATGCCGGTTGGGCTTCTAACACTGGGCATGTAGAGGCTTCTTGTGCCCCAATTGTCGCTCTTATAGTAGCAATCGCTCTTACAATACAAATCGACATCAGAAAGCATGCCAAAAGAAAGGCAAAAGTGGTGTCGCGCCGGGCAAAGATCATAGGGGTTGAAAGACAGGAAGTGGTTGATGTTTCAACGACTAGCTTGCCTAGCAAAACAAGACGGATAGAGATAGGGTCAAATCAAAGTATGGTGAAGCCGTTGAGAAGGTAGTAACTACTTGTGGCGGTTTCAATGTAATAGAATGGAATTGGGTTGGCTACGTTGAGAAAGCTAGCAATGCCAGGGTATGGTATAGACAGGAGTTAGACACTCAAATATTAACAGTATATTAGAGAGGGACTCGAGAATAGCAATGCAGTAACCTCGACAGTTATATTGTTTCTTCACAATGTAGTTGATGCTCTCTTCAGTGACAAGGCGGACGACTTCTTTCTGTCAAGCGATCCATGGCATCTTCCATTCACATACAGTTTCGACGAGAGTCTCACATCGTCTTTGAAGCGAGACGGCCACTTACTAACTGACAGACGTTTCCCCCATACTACGTTACCATATATTCGATCGGCGCCGAATCCCCGTATGTGTTCAGTCGCTGAGATGTGGTGTCGGATTTCTGTTTCCGTTTGGCCATTACCCGCCAGAACGACCGTGTATCTGCCTGAAGAATTTGGGCCCTGACTCAGAGTGATAGAGCGCCATGAGCCATTGCACACTCACCCATGAGAGATGAGGCATATTTAAGTGATGAAGAAGCAAAAAATGATCGATGGCAGTGAAGTTATGAGGATAGCGACGTTATACGGAGGTCAATTGGCGAGACCAAACATGTTCACAGGATCGAGCGTAGAACGGCTGAAGAACTTGTAAGAGCGACCATGGAAGCGCGAACTGGTGTATCTAAGTTCAGGTGATGGAGGAAAGCAAGGCTCTTAGGGATGAAATGGGAAACACTGTCTATTTAAAGAAGAGGTCAACTACCAAGCCTCGTTGGGGGCCAAGAATCCAAGACCTTCCAATGCGTCCTCCTGTCGGTCCATCCAAACAACAACTTGCCAGCTGGGAATGAGTAATCTGTCTCAGCCAATCCTGTTGTGGCCCTTGCAGCGGATTTGCTTCGTCACAATTTGGGCGGTTCAGCCCCTCGAGTCCTTGTTGGTTGTGTCTGGGCCTGCATGTGATTCCAAGGCTCTGCTTGTTTTGGTTGGCTCAACCAGTTCTGCATGGCTGGAGACAGTGCTTCGCAACTGTAAGTAAAGTACCTTGGCCTGCTGTAGGGTCTTACCGTGTTGGGGCTGCTTTGGACCGATCTTCTCGGCTTGAGTCGTTTCTTGAGGCATCGTTGACTGTACGTAGGCTGTCATCCACTTCTATTCAACTCCGATGACGATGGTTGGTATGGCGATGATCTTCTGCTTCGGGTCTCTAATTGACAATAGAGCTTCATTTTGCGGATCTTGATGGGCTACTTATATAAGCTCCAACAAGCTGCTCATTTCTACGACTCGAGTTACATGGCCTTCAACTCAGCACCTCATCAACCTCCCTCCTGCTCATGAGCCAACCTAGGACATAATTTGAGCATACGAAGAGCAAAAAGCAATTGCGCCTGCTCATATACGTTTCGTCGCTCGCAGAACGCGCCGTGACTGACTCGCGGCTTACTCGCTACCCTTGCGAGTTGCTCAGTCACCGGGCTCAAGAGCTCTGCTCAGTTACTAAACAGGCATAGGAGAGCAGAAATGTCAGCTCATGGGCGATGACGTGGTTTCTACTCCGTAGGTGAAGCTGAGCAATGCACCGAGTAAGCCAAAAGCCCAATGCCGGCGCTTAGCATGGTGTTCCGACCAACAGCAAGGCACGGATCCTGTACGTTGGGCGTTTACGTTGCTCACCGAGAAAATAGCCAAAGGACTGGGAACCGGGAAATTCTTTTGCACGTAAGGTGAAACAACACAACTTATCTCGCTCTATTGTCTCTTTGCACTTTCACCGTATAATAGGATTCCTCACCTATGGCGGGAGCGGACAGCCACCCAGCAAGCTCTTTACAGTCCACTACAGCTGAGCCTGAGTCAAGGCAACTCAGAAGCTTGCTCTCATTCAAGGTAGTTCTCAGGTTTGAGTGAGTTCGTCGAGGATTGCTCCGGACAGCTCCCCCCCGCTCAAGAACGACGCATCAGCCGCACAGCCTGATTTTTCTCACCCCAGAAACCAGACTCGGAAGAAGGACAGGCCGTTTAACCCGAAGAGATGCTAAAGAGCTTTACTTTTTCTGGCCTTAATCTTCCTCTTGCAACCAAAGGATACCCCGCCCCAATCGTCCGTTTCGCAGAAAGTCATCTAATCCGAATACCTTCTGTCTGCAACTGCCAACGGCATCACAGCTACACCGTCGGTTCGCGCGGGATATAACGATGCGAAAAAGTAGGAGTTTTTCCTTCTGAATCTTACGTTCCCTGGCGAATAATAGACGACGATATGACGGACGAGCAACTTTCCCATGGCATTGCCATTGCTCTGCAACGGCGGGCCCTCCGCACCCTGTACGGTTTCGAGTGTTCAGGCCTAGGTACTCTTTCGTCGTCGCTGAACATGCTTGTGACCATGAAAGATATATGATCCCCATCTTACACTCTACGCCGCTGAACCTCGATCGATGATCGGATTGAGCAATTCTTCCACCACCTCAGCATGCACGTCGCTCCTCAAAACGCGATGCAGCACACGAGCGACGACGAGCCATCTTCCCCCAGGCTCAGTCATTCGCCAGATCCCCGACCGTTATCGAGTACACATACCGATGCTGGTTTTTAATAAATTCTATGCGAAGACTTTTATTTCCAACTGCGCAGGAGGTCGTAAGACAAGGCGCCGTTTTTCTAAATAAATTGTTGGCCATACACTCATACCGGAAGCCGTCCGGATGTGGTTGGCTTATTAGTATAATATGTCAGGAACTATGGATCAATCTCACGTATACCAATTATATTTAAGTCGTTGTCTAATTGGTCTTTGTTTCATTGCATATAATTCGTGATGTGAACTTTCTTGAAGCTATCTCTGTCACAAGCATTGAGGCTATTAATGGCCACGTGAGGCCGAAAAGTCCTTTGTATTGATGCAAAGTTGGTCTTAGTACAGTATTCAATAATATCTACGTAGCATTTGGTGGGGTTTTCTACCCGCCTTGCCATTAAATACTGATGCTGCTGCTACAACAACTACTACCAGTGTTCTTACCAGGCCTTTGTCAAAGACTTTAGTCATTCTCTTGCTTAGAAATATCTGCTGAGTATTGGACGTGAGTATCATTAATTAAACATATGTTATAGAAAGCTCTCTTTCAATATTCAAAACTGAACGATGATGCATGGTTATGAAGAATGCGAGACGGTCGCAATGATGTGCCGTTGCCGAGCCTGGTCGCTGAGGCATATCAGAGCTGATCTAGAAAAACGACTGATCTGATGGTTGTTCAGATATCGTATGAAGAGTATTAGCAATAATGCGCATTGATTCTGTTTGGTGTGTCACATTGCCAGTATACAAGGTAAGATATGATCCACTACCGTTAAGGTTCGAAGTTCTTAGTCTTCTATGCAGGCCAGCTTATGACGAGACCCGGTCTCTTCTGTTACAATCCCAGGGGGCCTGGTACACACAGCCGACTACGAAGTACCAGGCTTGGAAGGCCAGCTTATGACGAGACCCGGTATGCCTTCTATTAGAATCCTAGGGTCTAGTCACATAGACCA